GTGGGGAGTCGCAAAATAGGGAAAGTTCAAGACGTGGGGAGTCGCAAAATAGGGAAAGTTCAAGACGTGGGGAGTCGCAAAATAGGGAAGGTTCAAGACGTGAGGAGGCGGAAACTAGGGCAGGTTCAAGACGTGGCGAGTCGGGAACTAGGGAAAGTTCAAGACGTGGGGCGTTGTAAACGATAGGAGATTCATCGTACATCTCGTCCCAGAGGATGGGAAGTGCGGGATTCCATTCTTCCAGGACCTTGAAAATACCATGAGGGGAAGTAACCTACCCCACCAGATATATCGTATGTGTGCTAAGCATCTCCATGTAATATTTTTTGTTAGGAGAGAAAACGGTACGGCGGATTTAGAAAGTCACTGGTCGGTAATTTAGGCAGCTAGCCAAATCGAGGCCTTTCCCCGCTGACAGGACAGAATCCCCCGTAATGGGTACATGAGGCAATATCGGTAAGAATTCCATATTTGAAGCAAAGTAACAAATAAGGTTGAAGAGAAAAACGGAAAATGGATTGGTACTATGAAAGGGGACATTTAGTTCTACACAATGCAGCTTGCTCCTCAGAGAGAGGTAGACAACCACCTTTCCTTTGCATGAGACAATCAAAATTATTACCTGAACCCTAAATAGAATAAAATAGAATAAGCAATAACATTAGATGGATGCTCGCCCAGTCGTTGAGAAGTAAATGATTTATTTCCCGTCGAAGGCAAGTCGGCCAAGGAGCAGAACAAGGTACACACATATATATATATAAATGGGAAAAAGTTCTGCGTGTGTATGGGGGTGGTGGTGGTGTCATCATCCATTTTAATTACACAAAGGAGAGAAGATGTTACTATTATTAACGTTCAAGTTGGTTTTTTCCCATAGGAAGAAATTTTCCACAAGGACATCCCCACCCCGTTATCACACCAGAGACTATAAAGAAAAGAAGAAGAAGAAACTGTCGCAGGACGGCATTATAAAATATTGCAAAAACGGTTGTGATGGCCAATTTAACACATACTTTTTGTTAATGCATTGATGGCATTCCTTTACAAAATAACATTTAAGTGTATTAATACTGTATTAATAATTCACTAAAAATGTTAAAAGGGTAGAGGGGAGTAGTACAGGCGGAATACTCTTTCTTCTACTGCACGTCCACACAAACATATGTGTGACACCCGCATCCGTCCTCTTTTTGATTTCCTTTTAGAAAAGGGTTTAATTATAAACATTCGTTTATCTTTTTTTTGTCCTCCAAAAAGACAAATGGTGAATGTGGTGTGTATACGAAACCACTTAATTATAGTTTAAAAAAAAAAGAAAAAAAAGAAAAAAAAGCAGTACCATTATTTTATGGGGGAAATTAGAATTGCAACAAACAAAAAATGTATGAAGATAAAAATGTATATATGAGTATTAACTAATAAACATATGAGAGGGGACGGGAAAGTGTAATCGGTATAGGAAGCCAAGTACAGACAACATCGGTGCGTACATATACACGTAAATGTACAAATATAGTTATTTTTTTACATATGTATAATATAATACAAATATGGATAAAGCGGAATTTGAAACCAATTTTATGCTTTTTCGGGGGCAGCACATTTTATTTGTGCTGAAAGGGCAACTTACACGGAATTGATAATTTGGGGACACATGTAAAATTACAAATGTGCGACGGGGGGGTTTTGTTGCCTTTTCCCGTTGCTCACGTTCGGTGTGTACGTGCAAATTGGTCGTTATAAACGGGTGCGCATAGAATTACTTAAACAAGAAACTTGGAATGCACCTCTCTACCTCTTATGCGCGATGACATGTGGAGCAGGAACAGCTCCTTCGCTTCTTCCTTTACTACTACACTTTAGGGGATAAAAATAGCTGTGTGGACGCTTAAAATGTGCTACACATGCATACATGCATGCATGAATACATATTAAACTGAAGAAAAAAACATATCACGGTTTATTAATTCTTCAAAACTTGGACCTCGGTATTGTACTTTTGGTGCATATGAGCTCTAGCTGATTCCTTCTTGTACGTGTATTTGCATTTGAATAATTTGAAAAAGAAGTAAAAAAGGAGAAGGGAGGTGACTACGGCGACAGGGAGGATACTGAATAATGAGAAAGTGTGTATAACGCAGCACATAATGATACCACCAAAAATGAGTGGTGCAACGGATACCAACATGTCGAGGTAGTATTGTAATCTGGTGATTTTTCCATTTTGAATGAGAAGGGTATAATTAGTAGTGAAAAGTTTGAGCAAATGTTTTTCGTATTTTTTGTCTACCTTTTTAATAATTTTGTACATACCTCCGAATATGGACTTTAGTTTATTTTTTTTTTTCCTGGCTGTAGGTGGTTCCTTAACAAGATTCGTTTGCGACTGCGTCTGCAACTGCGACTGCGTCTGCAACTGCAACTGCGACTGTGTTAGCGATTCTAATTCGGAATGTCCTTGCGGCTCGATGTTGGAATTTGGAGGGACTTGTACATTTGTTTGTGTTTTTTCAGGTGACTCAGAAAGACCTTGAACATTTTCATAAGACTTCAAAACCTCAATCATTTTTTCTGCACTTTCGGCTTTTTTTATTTCATTTAAAAGTTTCTGAACGTTGGCATATGCTTTTTGTTTTTGGCACAATGCTTGTGTATTTTGTGGAGTAGGTATTGTTGAAATAAAAGTTTTGTTTATATTTTCATCACAATTGTGAGAAGGAAAATGTGTTTGTAAAGTTTGGTTATTTGTGGTTGAATTGAATGATTGAGGATAGTCAGGGAAGCCACCTATCGGAGTTAGATCACCTCCATCGTACGAACTCAATGAATGTAGAGAAGTGGAATCGTTCCATTCTGAATTTGTATCACTAACTAATTCGTTAAACTGTTTTTCGAATTCTTTATCATGTAATAATGCATTAAATTCATTTTGGAAATTAGAATCGTGTACTATATTGTTTAGCATTTTACCAAGACTGCTTTCATCTTCACTTAGTGTTTTTATAACTCTTTCTTTTAAATTTTTACTTTTTAATTCTTCCAGGGGTGTGACAATGGGCCTTTTGCAAAGCACTCTGTTGGGTCGACTGCTAAGTGCGCATCCATTTTGAGATCGCGTTGTGGAAAAGGAGGAATGGGGGGCAGACTGGCGGGCGTTAAGGGAAAAAAAAAAACGACACACGCATTAATATATTATAATAATATACATATATATATATATATATATTTATATTTATACAGTGCCCCCTTTTTTTCCAAGTGCCGCACCACCTTTTGCTAATTTAAGGTGTGAGAAATTGTCCTCATCCTCGTGGACGCAACAAAAAAATTTGCTTTTTTTGGAAGACAGGCAAGGGGAGAGAGGAAGCATTCTAAATAATGGGTGTGTGGAGCTCTTCCTTACGGGAGCACCACACATATATATATATTTATATATACGTCTGGCTCCGTGGGGGCCGCTTTTTTCCCGTGGACGCGTGCCGTACCTTATAGGCGTATTTCCATGTCCATATGAACACAAGTACGGTGAACAATTTAGCAAAAAGGAATGCAAATTTATTAAATGTTTCTCCCATATGATATCACATGAATATTGTTATGATTCATTTGAAAGAGGTCGACAAGGTTGTGCTCAGTGGAGGGGTGGGGTGTGTGTGATTTCTCTTCTTGCTGAATTATATATATGTGCCGTTCACACATGCCTCTACGTGAGAAAGACCGCAAATTTTCCCTTGTGTAGGAATAGTAATATGTTAGTTATAGTATATTATGTTGGCAATTTTTTTTTTTTTTTTTTTTTTTTTTTTTTTTTTTTTTTTTTTTTTTTTTTTTTTTTTTTTTTTCGATTTTTTGAACTTCAAATAATTAAATGAAAAGTTTCAATTTAATTAAAAACAGTTCTCACAAATGCTAGCAAGGCAAATGTAAAATGTTAGGTAAATTAAAAACATACGTACGTAAGGTATTGCTGTGGTGTGTTGAATAAATTAGGAAAATGGAAAGAATATAAACATTAATAACATAAAAAAAAAATATACAATATATATATATATTTTTCTTTTATACAATATTATATAAATGAATTAAAATTATTCTAGAAAATTTGGATCAAAGTAAAAATATTTCTAGTTAGGGGAAAAAATAATCCCTTTCTTTGTTAACATGATCATTGGAACGGGTTAAAATAATTTTTTAAAATTCATTTTATCACATGAAAAAATAAACCTAATTATTGCAATATAACAATTTGTGGAAAATAATTATAAAAAGGAATATGTACATAATATGTATAATAGGGGAAAAAATGAATTTGAGAGTTTTCCCTGCTTGGCGTTTTAAAATGGGTATTATATTATATACGCTCCTTTACATTATGCATGTAAATACTCAAGTGCGCAATTAAGTATCTTTGGAGCCGCTTTGTGAAGGTAGCATATTTCCATCAATGCGTTTAAAAAAGAACGAGACGGGTACCCCGTGTTGTATAATGACGAAGTAACACCTCACGGGGAGTAATAATATATAATTATGTGTTTATATGAAACCAAAGGGTTTCACACTTGAGAAAAATGCGCCCCCCCCTGAGCGATGTAGATTGATATATTTTCATACGTGTACTACTCAGTGTAAGAACGAAAGAGGCATTCGGCTTAACACCTAAAAAGTTAAAAAAATAAAATAAAATAAAGTTTACTAATTTCACTTCTTTCGTTAACGAAACCATGTAAAAAAAAAAAAAAAAAAAAAAAAGTGTACACTACACATCATTACTATCGATTCAACATCGGAAGGGTAAACAAACAAAATGATCTATCCACATTTTGCACAGTTCGATGTATGTGTTAATTGAGGAGCTAGACTTGAGGAACAGCTAAACGTTTTTTTTTTTTTTTTTTTTTTTTTCCTGCCCAGTGAATGAAGAGCGGTTCAAATATATTATTAAGAACTCTTCGTATTTATTCAATAAGGATAATTTATTTCGATTAGAAATTCGAAAATGCAACGGGACATTTTTTCCATGTGTCCTTTTTTATGGAGGGAAAAAATTTTTGTCCATAGGATAATATTGAGGCACGCCTTAAAAAAAAAAAGGAGAGATGCATTTGAATATTAAACTCAGATGTGGACCAGGACGGAGTTGTATTTTTTTCGCCTATAATTAAAAAAAAAAAAAATGGGTTTAAAGAAGGTGCGGCGTTTTGAATGTGTTTGCGTATGAGTTTATCTTTATTATAGAATTTTTTTGCTTTAAAAACGCGTTTAAACAATTCTTCACCTCTTTGTGTCACACCACATGCAATGATCCTTAGTTGCCTTTTTTTTTTTCGAAAAGCAGGACCCCCGTGACACTTTTCCCTCCGTTGCTATACCAACATTTGTAAAACTACCCCCTCACCAATGCTCTCATTTTTTAAAGTTACACTTTTTAAAATGGCCTGGCGGGTAGCAATTGTGATAAGGCATTGATTAGGAAAAGTGTCTAGGGTTGGTGCCGGTAAGCCTAGACAGTCGCATTGGGGAGAAGACTGTGCCATTACACATTGAGGAAATGAAGAAGGTAGAGGACAGTCCTTGTGTATATTAACCAATAATGGAAATAATTCTACAAAAATTTAATAATCATTTTTATTAAAAAGTATGTCTCTTGTCTTTTAATAAATAACGAAAAAAAAAAAAAAAAAAGTGTCACGCTTCACACAAAAAAGGTTACGTAGTAATAAATTAATAAAACAGGTATGTAAAATTTGTTACGGCGTGGTTTAAGAAATATATGGGAGGCGAATAAGACAGTGAATGAGTAAAGACATACATATACATATACACATATGTACATATAAAAAACAGGTGTAAATTTATTAACGTTTAAACAGACATGCATAGCAGGGGCTTCTAAATCAGGGATGGGGTGATATAAGCAGGGGGGGGGGGCGTTTTCCCCCACACGCTAAGCAGGTTACATATATATGTATGCGTGTATATGTGTACATGTATGTGTGGTTATCCAATGATGAATAAATTGTGAGCGCCAATTAATATACACATATTGTTATGTGGACAGAAGTAAAGAGTTTTGAAAAGAGGGTTTCTAAAACAAATATTTATATATAAATAAAGTATAGGGCGTGTAAGATGAGCCGCATTTGCAGCGTATACAAGGAAAGTAGTGGAGGTACACAAACGAGAGAATCAAACAGGTGTCGCTGTGTATACATTTTTAGCATTGTGTTCAGGACATTATATATATATTACTGAGTTGTACTTCCTCGATTTAAATCATTCGCGTATTTTTTTGTCTTTGCGTGTTTCTGCCTTTGCGTGTTTCTGCCTTTGCGTGTTTGCGTGTTTTTTTTTTTTTACATGACATATTTTATTTTTCAAAAAATTGTCGCATTAATTTGGAATGGGGGTCTGGTGTACGTGTAAGTAGTTTTCTATACAGCAGTGATTTTACGTTTCGATTTAATTTTATGAATTTTTTTTGGTCCCTTTTTTGTTACTCTTCTGGAGGTAACTCCTTTTGTGTTTACATTTACACACTTGTCCTTGTTTGAGTATCCATTATAGGGGCGGGGTTAGGGTGCGCACGTTTTTTTCCCGTTAAACAAGAATGGCACACTTATTATGTATTAGGCACAAACGTGTATTTGTACACCATGTGGGTCGCGCTTGTGGGCCGCTTTTGTGGACGCCGCTTCTGGACCTCGCTTGTGGGCCGCTTTTGTGGACGCCGCTTCTGGACCTCGCTTGTGGGCCGCTTTTGTGGACGCCGCTTCTGGACCTCGCTTGTGGGCCGCTTTTGTGGACGCCGCTTCTGGACCTCGCT